TGGCAAGTAACCCATTATCAGAAAATGCAAGTTCCTTTTCTTTCTATAATATCTGAGCATGTGGTATTCGTGCAGAGGTGACTTAGAATTTCAGACCAGGAAGAGGCTGGGTCTTGGGTAATTCACTGAAGACTCTGGGAAGGCTCAGTGCAAAACAGCCACACAGGTTTCTATAGGAAAAGAACAGTTTCATTCTTGGCTGTCTTCCTGGGGATACTGGCCTACCTCCTGTCCTACTTGAGTCCTGGTAAGTGTCCAGAGCTCCTCTACCCCATCAGCACAATCAAGAGCTATCTTGAGAGAAGAAGAAGAAGGAGAAGAAGAAGAAGAAGAAGAAGAAGAAGGAGGAGGAGGAGGAGGAGGAGGAGGAGGAGGAGGAGGAGGAGGAGAAGGAGGAGGAGGAGAAGGAGGAGAAGAAGAAGGGAATTGAGAGAGGGAGAACTGGGAACCCTTCTGTCCCTATTGCATTAGTACCAGCAAGTGAGGTACATGCACAGATAAGAATTTGCCAGCTACCCTACAGGTGCCCAGCAGTACAGGATTCATAAGCAAAGAACTGAAATAAGCAGGGCTGTAGTATAGAATTAAAGGAGTCTGTTTTCCTTAGGCAAGTCACTTACTCTCTCCAGCCCACCTTTCCCCATTTATTAAGTGAAATAATGAGATGTTCTCCCAATAATTCTGAGTGCAGTCTATGTACTGGACACAACTCAGAATAAGACAGAAGAGGTGTCAGCTCTCAGGAGCTTACATTCTGGAGATGGACAGTAAATAAACATGAACAAGTGTTTCCTCGAGTGCTAAAATGAAAATAAATAAGAACGTTGAAATAAATCAGAGCCAAGTGCCTTTCCAGGCCACTATTCATCTCCTAAGGGTCATTTGCTGGAGTTTTATACTTAAGACAGGCCAAGGAGGCTCTTTACCCTGTACTGCCTTGTAAGAGTCTTTGTCCTGAGTCACTCTACAGCCACTGATACTTCAATCTAGGAGAAATGTTTACATACTCTGCCCCATGCCTGAATCCTAGCCCCGTCCATTAGATAAGACTTGGCCCCACCCAACACCATAGGTACAGACCTGCTTATACAATTGCTTAAGGGAGGAGACATTACTAATTTCTATTGAGCAATTAAGAATTTGGAAGAAAAAAGTTCTGCTTCTGACTTATTTTTCAGGGCTTAGGCTGAACCTCATACATGCTTAGCAAGTATTCTACCATTGGGCTAACCCCCCAATAACCCCAGTTCTGATTTTTAGATAAAGGTGTTTATAGGTTATGTGCATTGGTCAAAACTCAGTAAATGTGCACTTAAGATCTGTACATTTCATTGTATGTAGATTTTCCCTGATGTACTATTTTGGGAGCAGTATCTTGATGTCTTCAACTACTACTTTTGTTGTTTTGACAGGATATTGCCCAGTCTGGTGTCAGACTTTTTTTAAAGATTTATCTACAGCTGGGTGTGGTGGTACTTACCTTTAATCCCAGCACTCCAGAGGCAGTGGATCTCTATGAGATTCAGGCCAGTCTAGTCTATATAGTGAGTTCCAGACCACCTGTGGCTACAGGGTGACCCTGTTTCAAAAAACCAAAAAAAAAAAAAAATTTTTGCGTGTCTGTTGGGGGTGGTATCTATGTGAGGTATGTGCATGATATGTGTGCAGGTACCTGCAAAGGCCAGTAGATGGCATCTGATCTTTTAGAGCTGGAGTTGCAAGAATTTATGAGCTGCCAGATGTGGGTGCTAGAATCTGAACTCTGGTCCTCATGATTGAGCAGCAAGTGCTCTTAATTGCTGAGCCATTTCTCTGGTCCCTAGCCTCAAACTCTTGATCCTCCTCCTTTAGCCTCCAGAGTGCTGAGATTACTGGTGTAAGCCATCTCATCCAGCATGTGACTTATTTTGAAATGTATCAAAAATACAATGATCTAATTAATGGGTACATGGACAAATATGTTAACTCAAATATAGTAAGACATCAATCCAAGTGATAATTATACAGGTGTTCACTGTACTATTTTTCAATTTGGTTGTATGTTTGAAAGTTTCATAAGAAAATGTTGGGAGGCAGAGATTAGTGATAAACTTTGTAAAAAGTATACAACATTGTTTTATTTTTGTTTAGTGGTGCTAGGCACCCAACTCAGGGCTTCAGGCATTCTAGGCAAGTGCTGTACCACTAAGCTCCATCTCCAACCCCTGCCTTCAATTTTCAGTGCTTTCCACATGCACACTTTTCATGAAGTTGTAATTACTGTATCCACTTGCCATTGTTGTAATCTCTCACATATTTCCAAATTTTCATGTGTACAGTATTTACTATTAGCATCGTTTATGAATAGGTTACTTTGGGGATGTGGATTTACCATGTATATTCTAAAGGTACTGGCCAACTCTTCCTTCCTGGAAGCACTCCTTTACTGAGAACTTAAAATGTTGGAGGCAACCTTTTCAAAGGACATCAAAGAGATCCTAGAGCAGTGTGGAATTGTGAGGCCAAAAACCAAGGATGATAATCCTAGTATTGGAGTGTTCTTTCTTTTCCTTGGAGGTATCTGCTCATTCCAAAGGGAAAGCTAAGAGGCTGGGTATGGTGGTGCATGCCTTTAATCCCAACAGAGACGGGTGCATCTTTGTGATACCCAGGCCAGCCCAGTCTACATAGTAAGTTCCAGGCTAGCTGGGGCTCTCTCAAAAAAAAAAAAAAATAGACTGATTGAAAAAACTGACCACAAAGTTTTTAGAATTTTACACTCCCCTATCAAGAGGTAAGACTACTCCATTTTGAAATTAGTGAGGAAGGGTTATAACATGTTGACAAACAACATGCACAGGTGGGATACCACTGGACTTCAAATGCTAGATTAGAAAAGGCAGCAGCAGATTCCATCTGGCTACCCCTGAGGATGCTTGCCCTTGGGACCCAGGTGCCATGTTGCACAATGTACCAGATTGGAAGTGTTCTGGTCCATAACCCTAAGGTCCTGGTCTACAACATGCTTCCGACATGCAAGTGAAAAAGCCTCCAGGGATTTCAGCACCTATCAAGTCACCCTTAGCCTTTGAATCTTCGGCTGATGTCCAGACCTTGTGGACCAGACATAAAGCATCACTGTTGAATCCTGTCCATATTCTTGATCCATTATAAGAAAAATATATTCCTACACAGCCAGGCATGGTGGTGCTTGCCTTTAATCCCAGCACTAGGGGAGGGCAGAGGTAGATGGATTTCTGAATTCGAGGCCAGCCTGGTCTCCATAGTGAGTTCCAGGCCAGCTGAGGCTATAGGGAGACCCCATCTCAAAAAGATCAAATAATAAAAATAATAATAATAATAATAATGCAAAAATAAATTCTTTTGGAAGATTTTTACAAGCTTACATTTACAAATCATATGGGAATGAAGAAAAGAAAGATATAACTCACCAGACCCAGTCCTTCACTTTTTTTGTTTTTAGAGAAGGGTCTTGTTATGTAATATTGGTTGGCCTGGAACTTGTTATATAGTCCAAGACTGGTGGCAGCCCTGCTATCTCTGCCTCCCAAGTGCTGGGATTTCAGTCTTGCACCACCACATGCATTTTTGTTTGTTTTGAGACAGGATCTTGTTTTACGGCGCATGCTGGCCTTGAACACACAGCAATCTCCCTGCCTCAGTCTTCCAAGTACTGGTGTTACAGGTTATGCCAGCAGCATGCCCAGCTTACTGTCTTTTGTTTATTTTATGTGTATGAGTGTTTTGCCTGCATGTATGCAAGCTCACCACATTTGCCAGCAGAGGCCCCGGAGTTAAAGATGATTATTAGCCACTGTATGGATGCTGGGAACAGAACCTGGATCCTCTGTAAGAGTACTAGTGCCTTAACCATTGAGCCATCTTTCCAGCCCCGGTTCTTGCCTTTTAAAAATAAAGTTAGGACTAGGTGTGCTAAAGAAGGAAATGTCTTAAGTTCTAGTGCCTTCCCTTTGGGCTTTGGTTTCTTACTGCTAACAAAGGAGGGCAACATGAGGAAAAGGAATACCCTCACTGCTGAGTGGGAATGCTACCGTGCACTGGAGTACAGACTAGAGGTTGGGGACAGAAAGCTGAGGGTCAGGTCCCCTCGGTGAATGTTCATGAAATACACACTGAAGTAGAGTGGGATCAGGGGTTCCCAGGTCATAGGTCTTAGGCAGAACTGAAATCTATCCTTTTTTCTGAAGTACAGAGACCATTCAAGAACTGCTCACTACTGCTGAGTAGCCAGCACTTTCAAAGACATTTCCTCCAAACCCCCCCCCACCAAAAACAGTCACAGGCTTCCCATCTTCCGCTCTTTACTGCCGGGCAAGACTTCCCTGCTCAGAGGGCCTGACTTCAGTTCCAGCCTGATTCAGTCTGGGTTTCAAATCCTGGTTTATTTCGATTTGCTTTTATTATATTTATTTATTCATTTATTATGTGTGTATATGTGTGCACACATGCCACAGCATTTGTCAAAGGCATAGGAAAACTTGGGAGGAGTTGGTTCTTTCCTTCCGTCATGTTGGTCCAGGAGATTGAGCTCAGGTTAACAGGCTTGATGTTACCCTCTGAGCCATCTCACTGGCCCAAATCCATGTTTTACCATATATTTGCTGTTACCAATCTCTGTGGTCTTAGATTTCCTCTTCTACAAACAGGGGTGATGCTACTTATCTCAGAACTGTTACGAGGAATGAATGAAATAATGGCAAAGTATATAGCATGGTTCTTATGAATGTATGTACATGCATGCAATGCTTTTCAATGTCCTTGCTGGACTGGTGCTTAAGCTTATGCCATCTCCTAGAGGCTGTGAGAGAGCTGCTGAGGGAGTAACTATGGCAACACTGTGAAGGCAGACAGGCCCCTTTTGTAATCCATAGCCTACCTCCAGCCTCGATACAATTAAATATGTGCAGTTCTGCTGCAGTATCTAGATGGTTCTGTCTCCAGCCTGCTTTTCTTAAGGCTACATTGCGTACAATAACCACTCTAGTATTCCAAATTTATTTACAATTAGATATTCCGGGCTTCCCCACCCCACAGTCTCTCAGTTTTGCTCTCAAGAGAGAAGCTAGGCCTTCTGCCAAGTCCTAGGTCTAAAAGAATCACCTAAAGGGTAGACTCTTCACTTCTTCTGGGCTTGTGCTCTGGCCCGCTGAATCTTCTCAGCTGTGGCCCCATCTGTAGCTCCAGTGCAGTGCGACAATACAAGGCTTAGCTCAGCCTCGTTCCGGTGCTCGATAGCCACATCTGCAGCCTGAGCCACATCCCTGTGGTTTGAGTAGAAGGGAAAATGATGTTGGGCCTACCCAAGGGCACCAGGCCTGCCTCTTATCAGTCCACTGGCTTAGCCACCACAGACAGACAGACAGACACGCACACACACACAGGCACACACACACGCGTGACCCTCATTTGACTTACCCAACAAGAAGCAAAGCCTTGACCTTTTGCTCAGGACCCACACGGGAAGCATACTTCTTGGCTTCATATTTGTTGTGTTGTTTCATGCAGATCTCTACAAAGGGCTTTGTAGGAAAGGGAAGGTGAGGAGAGAGAAGACAAATAGCCTTTTTCTCTTTCTTAGGAGCAGAAGCCCAGTGGACACGTAGTCCTATATGTATTTTGCACACAGTAAGTACAGTCCCTCCCTGCCTGTGCAAAACAGTAGTGATCTCAACATTCTTAGAGCAGAAACAACCTAAACCAAAAATCTGTTTCATGCTTCTACTCTACCACTACTACCACTATCTCCCACCCCCCAGTGTAGGTGTTGCTGACCCAGTCCTCTCAGAACCTGTGTTTTCTCCCATGGTTGCCATTATAAAACCTGCCCTCCATACCTCTGAACCTCCATACCTCTGAACCCCCTCAGTATCTTCCACTGCCTCACAGATGTACTGTCCCTGCTCCTTCTGCCCCCAACTAAATCAGGACTTTTCCCTCAGACACATTATTAGCCCTCACTGTGGAAAGCAACTCACTCTCCCACCACTAGGTATCTGCAGGCAGACCTGGGCCTGACCTTCAGGGTTCCCAACACAGTATATGATACCTACCCGTATTCACATGGTACAGGAAGCACTGACTAAGAACACTGGAGGAATGGGTGTAAGAAGGGGCCATCTTTACCATCTCCCTGCCTGGCTCCTGCCCAAGACTACTAGTGGGAGGCTGAGAGAGGATCCCTGCCTCACCAGGTAGCCAATAGGTGATTTCTTGCTCTTGGAAAACTTCTCCAGCTCCTCCCAATCTTCCAAATCTGCCAGGGCTGTCAGCTTCAGCCACCAGAGCCTACAAGAAAACTAGGCTTAAGAAGGTGCCATAGCAAAGGCATGTGGTCCTAGGACTACAGAGAGCTGGGGCCTTCACCCACCTCTTGTCAGGAATGCGAAAGTCACGTGCCAACTGCTCTGCACGCTTGTTATGGCCTCCAAGGATGAGAGTGGTGACTGTGTCATGTAGAGGCAGGTCTAGGAACTGACCACCCAGCTCATCTTGTAGACGCCGCTGCAGCCGCAGGAGCTTCATTTGATCCTCCGTTGCCTGGGGACCAGGATGAGGCAGGTTGGGGATGAATGACAAGGAGGACCAGGAGGGAGGACAGGAAGCTCTTGGAAAAGGGCAGTCAAACCTTGGCTGCAAATTCATTCTTGGCCTTGTAGAAGGCATCAGCTGCTGTCTGCAGAGCTGCTACTCGCCCTTCAATACGCTACGAATACAAAGGAGTGCTGAGCTCACAACACATTAACATTGCCTCTCCCTACCTGGGTAAGTTTTCTCCCCTATTTCTGTGCCCAGAGTGAGTTTTATTCACTACAGGCACCACTCTGGTGTCACAAGCTCCCCTGAGACCAGCCCCTGTCCTCGCCTCATGTTCTTCAACTTAAAGAGTGAGGACCAGATGGAGTATAAACCATATGCAGAGGCCCAGGTTCCTGGAGAAAAATCAAACAGCAACTGACCCACAGACCCCACCTTCCCTTTGGACCTCAGACCTCTTCTGCGGCATAGCTGGCTCGGATATGGAAGCTGCCCAGCTCCTGGTGGTTGTCATCCTGATTGTAAAGGTCCTTCAGTGTGTCTAGCTCCTGATGCTTACAGAACTGGGTCATGGGCAAGAGATCAGTCCGTCAGTCAGTAAAGGTAATCCAAAGGTTCAGGGTGCCAACCCTCCCTAACCCACACGTGCACACACGCATGCACACACCTGTCGGTACAAACTCAGGGCCATGGGCTGATTCCTGAGAGTCATGAAAAAGTCTCCTCGGTTCAGTTCATTCTTCAGGTGCAGCAACACTGTGAACACTGGGAGATGATAAAGGGGGTGGGGCCTCCAACCCAGCTCTGCTCAGCACGGGGCCTTACTCACCTTCTTAGCCCAGTGCTATCTGGCCCTCACCCAAACCCTGCTCACCCAGGTCAGTGTCCCCACTCTCAATGGCCTTGCTCAGTGCTAGCTTGCTCCTCTTCATCTTTAGGAGAAGAGGTACCTGTTCCCCAGATCGTGGCTCATACTCTAGCAGCTGTGGGGTGGGGTGGAAGGTAAAGAGAGGTACTGGCATAGGGATCTTGAACAACCACATTGGGGTACCTGGGAAAGGCTATGGGCTCACACCTTGATGGCCAGTTCAGTACGACCACAGCCATAGGCCCGTGCAGCAATGTCGGAATATGAGACACCAGGTGTGTCACCCAGCTTCTGATTAATAGCCCGTGCTACATCCTCATCTGACACATCCTTCTGCTGTACCTGCAAGGTATGTTATATATATGGATGTCACAAGTCATCCCTCATCTGCCCACCCCCATAGGACCTCTACCAGAGTCTACTTTTTGCTTCTATGCTCTGTATTTCCTACATTTCACCAGGGCCTGAGGTTACCTCAAAGTCCCAGACTTTGTCCCATGTCCTTGCCTTGTAACAGGCCCAGTGGGCCAGGATCCTGCTGACACCCTGCACTTCAGGAAGGCGCAGGTACTCGCATATCTGGATAGCCAAGGGGTAAAGCCTCCGCAATACAAGCCTGGTAGACAAAGAAGTATGGAGCACAAGGGGTGAGGTAAAGTGAGGCCAAGGGGCAGAATGGCCCCATCCTGTCTTAGGCCTTCCAAATCTTAAAAGCTATGTCAGGAACAGTGACCATGACACCCTACAGAAGGCTGTAAAACCACCCACCATCGGCCTCCTATAGCACCCTTGGGCTGCTGTACCTGTCCAGCAGCACTTGGATGGTGAGCTGCTTGTATCTGTATTTTCCTTGGTTAAGGATCCAGTTGGGGTAAGCCCTGTTTGCCAAGGACCTGCAGAATGTATCTTCAGCCCCTTCCCCGTCATGCCCAGCTATAAACACCCTCATAGCATATATGAGGATACTGGCTGTAGGTCAGAGGGATTCCAATGTGGTAGTCCCTAACAGCATTGAGCACTCGCAGGTCCTGACACATGTGCACAAAGCTGTCAGGTGGAAATCTGTCAAGGAAACACTTTCCAAAGGAGGCCGCCTGAGAAGAGCCAAAAGGCAATGAAAAAGAATTCTCTTGATGCCCAGCCCACCCATTCCCAGTGCACCCTCCCCCAAAACTCCCTCCAGGCCAACCCTGAGCAGACTCTTCTGCATGTCTGGTTGGTGCTCGTGTCCTGCAGCCTCAATGCACTGCTGCACAGCCTGAGTCAGCTGCCCCAGCTCCTGGATCTCCCGCAGGTACTCATCTGCTTTCTGGCTCTCTTTCTGTGGGAGAGGCCCAGAGATGGGGCATCATGACAGAGAATACCACATTCTGGCCACTATACTCTCTGGACTATAGTCCAAATGGAATGATTTAGAAGGGCTGCATAGGCCTAATCCACTGGAGGTGCTCACAACTGCTTGTGTGTGGGTGGTGTGGCTTGATATATCCTAATAGTAGCATCAACTTGAACCTGGGTGTTATAGAACTGCCTTGCTCTTTCTGGTCAGTTTACATGGGCCAGCCTTCCCCAGCCCAGGCCAATGTCCCACCTAAACCCCTCCCCTGACAGGTGGCACATGGCTGTTCCCACAGGTGCTCAGACAGGGGCAAGAGTCCAATCAAGGAAAGGAGAAAGAGACATCTTGGAGCCTCAGAAGCAGCCCAGGGATTTACCTCATATTCCTTCTGGGCCTCCAACAGCAGTGCTCCAGGAGCCATTGAGGCAATTTTGAAGATCTCTTCACTGGCCACTAGAGGAGGGAGTTGTTGAGGGGGAGGCAAGAAAACCCTCAATCCTGCTGTAATACCCAGATCCTGCTTTGGACCATCAGCCTAGGATTGTGGTAGTTTGCAGCAGGTAACCTGTCCTGGTAATACAGTACCCTTGTGGGAGTCTTACCTGGGACCTCATGCAGGAATTCATGGGTGGTGCGGGAGAAGATGCGGACCCCATCAAGCTCAGGTACCAGGTAGGAGTCCTCGTCTAGCACAAACCTGAGTTTAGTCAAGGCTTCTAAAAGCATCCAAAGACAGGGTAGGGTAGGCAACTCCCCCTTCCTTTCACCTCCCAATCAACATAGGAAGCTTTCCAAGGATACTGAATGCTTTCAGGTGCATTGCCCACCACCATCAGCCGCCTCTCCCAGGCCACCACAACAGCCCTTTCTTTGCTTCGAGGACGGCTACACCTATGGGCAACACCATACACACTTGTAGGATACTCTTAGGACAGCAGGCCTACAGGAATGTCTCCTATATCACTGCTTGCAGCACTTCTTTACCTTGGGATAGCCCTGAACAATACTGTGTCTCTTAGCCCATTTCTGAGGCTACATGTGGGCCCATCTGTTTCCCTCTTACTCTTGCACTGCCAGTCAGGTGGCCCACAGAGGACAATAGTTTCCTTTAAGTGTGTGCTGGCAGAGAAGGGAAGATCCAAGCTCCACTTAGTTTGGCCAGTATACGGAACCAATCAAGGTATCCCAGGAAGTCCTACTCCAACCCCTAAAGAATCCTCTATTCTTACCAGACCATCTGCTTTGGGGGTGCCCGGATGTTGCAGTTGAACTCACACAGCTTCTCCTAAAAAGGTGCAGTGTGTCACAGCCCTGTCACAGCAGCCACCCTGCTGGTTGAAAAACCCTGACCTTATCCACAACAAATCTTCCCTGGACAAAGGGTGGCCTCTCTTGTAGCTCTAGGATCATACCTTGAGTGATGCTGTCCCCATCCAGATGCTGCCTGTGTCTGTGAAGAGTGCCAGGTGTCGGTAGGTGAAGGATACAGCCATCTGGAGGAAGCTGCTAACTCCTGGGGCTAGGCCAGCAGGTGTCTGGGGCAGGGCCAGGGAGGACACCAGACAGACTAACTTCTTAGTGCCTTCCTACTGCTTGCTCAGCCCCTCCACTTCATTCCCACTCAGGTTCTCACCACTGTAGAACAGGTAGCATGGTCTAGGATGTAAAGATCAGGTCCTACAGCCAGAAGAATGTGTGGCACTCTGTCATGGCACAGTGTAGTCCAACATGAAGGTGCACTTTGTAGACCTGTAACAGGATAACTTTGGAATGACTAGAGCCCACAGTTTCTGCCTCTGTTGGTCCCACAATCTGGAAGCACATTTGTGGTACTGAATGGATCTCTTAAGGGCATCAGGACTTACCTGGCACCTCTGGCATCCGGCGGAGTTTGAGGTCACCCACATTGGCACTCAGTGTAAAGCGATAGGCCCCTGTTAGGATGGCTACCCCAGAACCAAACTCAGTGTGAAAGATTCGGGCATCTAGAACTCGGTTCTGAAGTACCTCCTGGAAAAGGGGACCAAGAATTAAAGATTCCACAGGTTGATATGCGCCATCTTCCCTCCCCAGGCCCCTGTGGCCCCTTACATTGCCCATGCTGAAATGTCTCCGGAAGTCACCATGAAGCCCATAAACCAGTACTGCACCATCTTCCTGCACGCAGAGCAGCTCCTCCTCGGCTGACCAGCCTAGGGACACCACACGTCCACTTTTCCACTGCAGAGGAGAGGTTCCTGTGGCTGTACTTCGAGCTAGTTAGCCCTGCCTAGCACACAGCCCCAGGGACAGTCCCAGTGCTCACCAGCAGGCTAGCCAGCAGTATGCCAGAAGCAGAGTAGATCTCAAGCACTGGCCGCACGCTGGCAGCTTTCTCTTTTCTCCAGTGGTTCCTTAGCAGAGCTGTAGTTTGAGAAGAAACTCGTGTCCTATACCATCAGGCCCTATGTAAGGCAGGCTTCCTGGGTTAGTTCCTCAGGCCCATCCCGTGGGAAGCAAGACTCATGAGAACCAAAATTAAAAGCACCTTAGCAAGGTGGATTGGCAGAAAAAAAACCTGACAGCAAACCCTCAGGACTCCCACGATCCCACAGCATGTAATAGTAGAGGGGCAACATACCAATGGGACCCCCGTAGGGTGCAGCAGCCACGAGGCAATCCTTGAGTTCCTCCTTCAGGTCCCAGTCCATGCTGTACAGCTCATATTTCCTACCCAGAGATAAACAGAGATCAGCTTCTTCATGATCCTGTATCTAGACAGAATAAACCCCAGAGGAATGCCTAGAGCCTCTATTTGTCCTCTGCAGGCAGCGAAGGAGGGTCCTACACATACACTAAAGGCGGAATGGGAGATAGTGACTAGAAACTGACCATACGTAGGCCTGGGGACCTCAGGTGAGGAAGCACAGGGTGTTGGCAAGGAAGAATGCAGCTTTGAGGCAAGTGTCCAATACTGGCAGGAGCTCCTTGCAGGTTGTGTGCAAGATACTGAGACAGTGCTAAGGCTCTGGCAGGCAATAGCAGGAAATGAGACCTTCAGAGGTTTCTTAGAGAAGGAAGACTCTTCTATTTCTGTTTCTAATGATGAATCAGGGTTTGAACTTTTTTTAATTTTATTATTTTAATTGTATGCGTATGTGTGTATTGCCTGCATGTAGGTAAGTGCACCCGTGTCATGCAATGTCTTCAAGGTCAGAAGAGGGTATTAGATCCCTTAGAACTGGACTTACAGATGGTTGTTAACCATCATGTGGGTGCTGGGAACTGAACCCTGGTCCTCTGCTAAGCCATCTACCCAGCCCCTGGTTTATAAATTTTAACCTTAAAAAAAGATCCTGATTAGCCTGGTGTGGAGGCTCACACCTTTAATCCCAGCACCTGGGAGGCAGAGGCAGGTGGATCTCTATGAGATCCAGACCAGCCTGGTCTACATGGCAAGTTCCAGGACAGCTGAGGCTACAGAGCGATCCTGTCTCAAAAACAACAGCAACAACAAAACCCTGATCCTGGGCCAGAGACATGGTTCAGCATGTAAAGGCACCTGTGGCCAAGCCTGATGATCTGAGTTTAATCCCTCGGACCCACATGATGGACAGAACCCTGGCCTGCAGACTGTTTTTTGTTGGTCTTTTTGAGACAGGGTCTCCCTGTAGCCCCAGCTGGCCTGTAATTCACTATGTAGACCAGGCTGGCTTTGAACTCAACAGAAATCCTCCTGCCTCTGCCTCCTGATTGCTGGGATTAAAGGCATGCGCCACTACACCAAGCTACAGGATGTTCTATAACGTCCACATGTGCACACATGCATATACCCCAAATAAATGTAGTTTGTTTTTTTTTTAAAAAAAAAAAAAAAAAAAAAAAAAGGCCTTGGGGCTGGAGAGATGGCTCAGCGGTCAAGAGCAGTGACTGCTCTTGCAGAGGACCTGGGTTCAATTCCCAGCACCCACATGGTGGCTAACAACCATCTGTTCCGGGGGAATCTGATGCCTTCTTCTGACCTCCATGGGCACTGTACAACACAGGTGCACTTACACACATGCAGCCAATACACTCATACACATAAAATAAAAATAATAAATAATTTTTTAAAGCCCTAATCTGCCGGGCGTGGTGGCACACACCTTTACTTCCAGAAGTCGGGAGGCAGAGGCAGGTGGATCTCTGTGAGTTCAAGGCCAGCCTGATCTACATAGTGAGTTCCAGGCCAGCTGGGGCTACTGGGAGACCCTGTCTCAAAAAAAGACCAAAAAAAAAAAAAAAAAGCCCTAATCATAACAAAAAGAACTTTCTGAATAAACCTCATGAAAAATATAATAAAATGAAACTAAAGATCCTTTAAGGATAAAGAAGACATGGAGAAATTTTAAGATAATCTAATAATGCACAAGAATCTGATAAAATACACCCCTCCCCATTTTTTTTAACAGAAATGCATAGATTGAGTCCAAAGTTCATGATTGGGGAGTGAATTATCTGAAAGAGAAAACAGTAGGAAATATTCAAGAGCACTTTGAAAATACAAGAACATATATATACCAGACATCAAATACACTATATAAACTAAAGTTCACTTAAACTGTTTAGGAACAGACATAAGAAAACAGGTCAGGGACCAGAGAGATGGTACATTGGTGAAGAGCATGTACTACTGTTTCAGAGAACCTGAGTTTAGTTCCCAGAACTCACATCAGGCAGCTCACAACTACCTGTAATTCCACACAAGGACAGCCAACACCCTCTTCTGGACTCTGCAGGTACTGGCACAAGTGCACATATCCACACACACACATATGCATAATTTAAAAATGATAAAAATAAACCTTTTAAAAAGAAAACAAGGGGCTGGAGAGATGGCTTAGTAGTTAAGAACACTGGTTGTTCTTGCAGAAGACCCAGGTTGGAATCCCAGCACCTACATGGCAGCTAGCAACTGTCTGTAACTCCAGTTCCAGGGGATCCAATGGCCTCTTCTGTCCTCCGAGGGCAATGCACAACATGGGTGCACTTACCTACATTCAGGCAATACACTCATCACATAAAATAAAAAAATAAAAAATAAAATGAAAACAAATCACTCCCAGCACTCCAAAAAAGACTCGGGAATTGAACATATAATAAAGATGGCATTTCAAAACGATATCAAACAAAAAAAAGATAAAAAAAGTTTCTTTTTTATTTTATGTGTATGACTGTTTTGCCTGAATGTATGTAAGTATATCTGTGTCATGCAAAGCCTGTGGAGGCCAGAACAGGGCATAGATTCCCTGGAATTGGAGTTATGGACAGTTGTTAGTGGCCATGTAGGTGCTAGAAATCAAACCTGGGGCCTCTGGAAGAACAGCTGAACCTCTGAACCGTCTCACCAGCCACCTAACTTTTTTTTTTTTTTTTTTTTTTTTTTTTTTTTTTTTTTTGCCTGCATGCAGGTAAGTACACCCATGTCATGCAATGCCCATGGAGGTCGAAGAGGCTGTCGAATCTTGTGGAACTGGAGCTATGGACAGCTGTTAGCTGCCATGTGGGTGCTCGCGTGTGCGTGTGTGTGTGTGTGTGTGTGTGTGTGTGTGTGTGTGTGTGTGTGTATGAGTGTATTGCCTGCATGTGTTAAGTGCACCTGTGTCATGCAGTGAAGGTGAGGGTCAGAAGAAGTCATCATATCTGGAACTGGAGTTACAGATGGTTGTTAACCACCACATGGGTGCTGGGAATCAAACCCAGGTCCTCTGCAAGACTAGTCAGTGCTCTTAATCATTGAGCCATCACTTCAGACCCTGGGACTTATTTTTTAAACCACATTAACAGGGACTTGGTAGGACAGCTCAGTTATAGAACATTTTCCTTGCATGAGCAAGACTCTAGGTTTGGTCCCTAGGAGGCAAGGGAAACCACATTAGTGGCTATTTATTAAAATAATTCACATTAAGAAACTTTCGGCTGGGTGTGATGGTACATGTTTGTATTTCCAGCACTTGAAGCAGAGGACTGAAGCACATTTGATTCTAGTCTGGTCTATAGTGAGCTCCAGGCTAGCTAGGGCTATATATGAGAATCTGTCTCAACCACTCACAAAAAAACCTTTTAATTTTTTAAAAAATCCATCCCAAACATAGTATAAGACAAACTACCAAAAAGGCACATGTCTTTAATCCCAGCACTCCAGAGTCAGGTAGATCTCTTTGAGATCAAGGCTAGCTTTGTCTACATAAAGAGTTCCAGGCCAGTTGGGGTTACAGAAACCCTGTCTCAACAACCCCCAATAAAAAATTAAAAAAAAAGAAAAAAGAAAAAATACCTGTGGTACCTGGAAAAGGAACATTTTGCTTAAAATACAAAAGACTTGCTTAGCATGTACAAACCCTGGGCTCAATCCCCAGCACCACTGAAAACAAAGAGCTAAAAACTTGAAAACACAGGGTGATACTTTTCATAATGCTGATATATGGAAAGGCCTTTCAGAGCAAGATATAACCCACAGATGATCAAGGGGAAAAAAAATCTGGGCTAGAGAGATGGTTCAGCAGTTAGGGGCATGTTCTTCTACAGGACTTGAGTTTGATTCCCAGCACCCATGTTGGGCAGTTCGTAGCTGCCTGTAACTTCAGCACTGCACTCACATGCACAAACCCACACACACGTATACACATAATTAAAAAATAAGACTCTTTCTCAATGAATAAGTTGGGGAGTGATTAAGAAAGACATTTGACAGCAACCTCTGGCCTTCACAGGCATGCTAGTACACACACACAACACACACATATGTGTACAAATGAACATATATACCACACATAACATAATTTAAAATTTTAATTAACACATAAAAACCTAGTGACCACTATGGAAAAAATGTGTAAGATTTATAGCTAAAGATTAATATGAACAATATAAAATGTTCCTGCCCCCACGTGGTGAAGCCTTTGAGAGGGAACTGACACTGATTCTAGCCACTCCAACAGCTATCAAAGTGCTTGAAAACAAATCCTGAGTTCATCACTCTCTAGTCCAGCCTTGGCAGACAGAAAAATGAAGAGGAACCCAACAGAGGGATGTCTTGGAAGCTCTTGTCAAGAAATCCCAATGGACTCTGATATGAACATTTGAAACTTGCCCTGTTCTTTTTTCTGGTTCCCTGTCTAGAACTTGTAATGCTAACTATTCTTGCCTTTACTTCTTCACATCCCCTCTTCACCAGTTAAGGACCTTCTTTTCTCCCTGCAGATATGCAATTTGGGAGTCTTTTAGATAGACCCACTGAAGGGGTACCCCAATTGCTTCACCCTGCATCCCTGTTCAGCATGGAAGAAGCCAGAGCAGTTAGGGTAAAAAAGACTCCAAAGAAAAGTAGCCAGTTTCTTGGCTAGAAGTCAAAATGTCTTTGGGCCACTTAACAACATACATTCCAAAAGCCAAAAATGTCAAAACTATTTGGGAACTCTTATCTAACCCCTAAAAGGATTTTAGGGTTACCTCTTCAGAGGGGGGAATGTTAGAGTAG